TTAACTGTATTTCATTTATTCTTAATAAGCCTTGATGAGCAAATAACAAAGGCACACAAGCTCTGCTTGCAGAGACGAAAGGAAACTGAATGTTGTGTTCAGCAATGTCGAAATCTGCTAAAACCATGGTACGTTGATTTGTTTTGGGGAATCTTCATGTAAATTATAAATTTACCTTATCAATGTTTATGGAAGCAAACAATAATGATCTCAGCTTAAAAGGAAATGACTTGACACAAAAGATATGCACAGCGATTTGGATTTGCAACCTAACACGTCAAAAGGTGACAAAGGGTTTATGCGTGACACATGATGAGGGCAAAAATTAGTGTGTGATTCCTGAAAAGCAACTGAAAGACATCCCTTGCAATCTGCATCTTGTTTTCCTGGGAGCATTTGGTTATTATCTTTAAGCACTGTTTTGACCAAAAATACAGCAATTGTTGCTGTGACAGTTGCTGCCCCACTTCCCTTGTAGCAAGGCAACTTATCATTAAAGGCTTTTTTTCACTAGCAACGGAGTTGCAGTCGGATTGGTAATCAGAAGCATAGAGAGATATGATGTAGTGAAAATTAAATGGACACAGTTGGAACCTGAACACCTATCAAGTCATAAGCGCGACAGAATTGGAGTCGGAAGAATCAGAAGTTTTCATTTCTTACGATTCTGCTTATGACTCTGTTACTTATGATTCAGTGAAAACTAGATTGTCGGAGTTGGAAGCAGAGGTGGAAAAATAAACCAATCACAATGTCCAATTCCAGGCCTTGTTATTGGTTGGTTCTTTTGCTTCTGCTTCGTACTCTGATAATCTAGTTTTCACTTGATCATAACAGATGGAGTTGTATGCCAAATCGAAAGACATGGAAATGATCTGATTGTTCTGGCTCCGATTCTGTCGAACTCATGAGTCTGCTTATGACTTCGATTTTTTATTTTCTCCAGGTCATAACCTCTCTTACGAATCTGACTCTGACTTTGACTCCAGTGAAAACCAGCCTTAACCCCTCCCACTGTTCTCTTTAAGGAAAACCTGCACAATGTGCTGACCAGGCAAATTTGTAGAGACACTCAAAATGCATTCAAAACATGTCGGATGTACAACCTTGTTCTCAGGGTCTCTTCTCCTCTCCTGGTGCTCTGGGTCTCACGCGAATAGCATGATACCCGTTGACAGAACAGTAGAACAAACAACACAAGCAATGCCGTTATCCCCAAAACAATAACAATAACAGCTGCTAAACTTTGATGACAAGTAGAATTAGAAGCCCACAAGAGCTGGTACACTTGCGGGTGCTCTCTCTCACTTTTAGGGGCGGGAAGAAAACAGACCCTGGTAATGAGGTGGTGGGCTGTATACTGGTGTTATGATGTATTGTCATGAGTATAATAATTTATTTTAAAATAATATAAAAGCATTCTTGATAGGGATCGAAGGTTA